CGTCTGGTTGAAACCTTGGATATGTTGAGCTCTATATATGAGTTTCTCGCGTACAGGGTAGTTGGTATTAGATGTTACAATTCATGGTTCCAGGTAACTTGAGCGGCAATATAGATATAATTACTCTATAGGTGATGCAATATGCTTAAATATACTGATTGCGACGTTGCGGGCCTCCTGTGTGGGCGTTGGCTGAGTTCTTGGGCGAGGAAATGTGGTATTCAGCGAATTTGGTTTCAGAGACCTAAGTGTCCTACGCAACTTCGACTTGAACCATAATATTACCGAAATAGTGACCACTGGAAAGTAAGCTGTATTAGGAACTAGTTACGGCAGTACCAACTTTTATCCTGGGTACGGTGTATCAGCTTCGTCTGATACTTCATTACACCAACTTTCACTTCCTGGTGCAAAACACCATATCGAAGTTTCGTGATGTGTGACTTGGTGCCATAGTAGACTGCGGGAAAAAGGCATTAGTGCAGGTACAATGAGCTTTGACCTATGAAATCGATCAGTTATGACCAAGTCCACGATAGTAGGTCCCATGCTGCTGCATGCTTATTCCGACAGCACATCCGGCAGCACCTCGTGCTTCCCCGAAGCATGCCAATGCCCCGCCATGGCCCGGTACGATCTGGGAACAAAAGAGCTTCGTTAATAGCCGTCCATACGAAATATATATATATGTGCTTACGACACAAGAGAGAAGTTCCGACGGAGACATTGCACGAGCGGTTATAAACGTCTTGAGGCAGACACTTGAGATCCGAATGGCTCCTTTGCACTCACAAATTACCGTCTCAAATAGTAGCCTTCCTACTCCCTCAACATGGCTCATACTTGTGTTGTATCTGACTACCTATATTGGAAGCTTAAGTTGACAAGAACTGCCTACAAGTCAGTACAGAAGTCTTACAGTATGCGAGAAAAGAAGGCTCAATGGGGGTTTGATGACCAGGAGCGACAGACAAATTTGCATGTGAGTACAAAGGCATCGAATATAGCTTCGCATCGGAGAGTACGAGCTCACTGTCTGGTAGACGACCTTATATTAGAATCCTGTTTGAGGAACTCTGGATGGAGACTTTATACTTGATGCGTCGACCCATGGTTTAAACGAGCTGCCCTTTCCTGCCGACTGACATGTGCAAACGTCCTCATGCATAAGGATGCCGGGTGAATGACACCAAGGCCGTCAAGCCGTTGGGCATCTTATCTATGTATTCCTTTCATCGAGGCCTGCCACTTGAATCGAATCAAGGCCAAGGTGCATATAAATGAATGCAACAGTATAAATTCTTGACTGGAAGCTCTTCGAACATGTTAGTCGCGCCAACGTAGATGTCATCTGATCTATATATGAACATGCCGAAATATGAACCATATTGAACAAGAGGCTGAGGATTCAGTACAACGGCGGGATTCTGACCAAGTTGACGTTACAGAGCGACAAGGAAAAAGTAGTCTATCTGGTTTGGAGATGTGACTGTCAAGATTCAACCCTGTCGACGTTGGTTTAGCAAATGCTCCGTGCTTCAATCGCTTCTCCCCTGTCTGTCTAGCTAGCTAGCCACCCTGGCCTCCGAGTAAAACTAGGGTTATCCCGGCTCCTCGACAAGTTTCGTAACACTAAAAGAATAACGGCATGAAGATCGGCTTCGTCTTCCAACATTTTGAATGTGATATCACCACGCATTGTGAATATGGCCTCTCTTGAGGCACAGCTTTTGATATACCGGACCAACAACGCCCGGGGCCGTTTCTTGTCACTGCATGGTGGCGAGGTTACTCAAGATCTGCGAATGAATGAAAAAATACCTCGAGCATGCGCCCATGAAAATGCCAATGGCTCCATAGCGGCAAATCAAGGTGTAAATGTGAGAGGGTTCAACAATAAACGAGCGGCATCAGGATCAGGGTGCAGTGGAGATCCCTGCAGTCTTGTCTTGATGGACAGACTCCCTCCGAGAGAGCCTGTCTTGAAAAATGCTGTAAACAAAAGGTCTGACCCACCATGCATTATCGATTGGCTTTGATTGAATAATAGCACTCTTGCTACCTATTGCGTTGCAGGTAATGGTAAGTTGTCTTTGAGCTCTTGATGCCATTCGAGATTGAATTGCAGGCAAGCAACCTCAAGCGCAGCAGTAGGAGCACAGCAGCACCTTTTTTGTGAACAGCTGCAGACTGAGTGACAGTTATGTCTCAACATAGTGGTCAAAGCAACGCTACTCGGATTGGATGTTCTGAGTTGCTACGTTAGATAGCCAAGCAAAACTTGAGACCTACAGGAGCCAACCAGCGAGAAATATGGCCGATGGTCTGCAGTAGTCTGCAGGACGATAACTATTGCCGAAACTGTCGAGCTGCGTTGCGCCGCGTAGAACTTGACTCGACCTTAGACCAACAGATGCTGGCTGATAACTAGGAGTTGATTGAAGGCTCCTTACAGGACAGACGTGCGTATAATATCCACATGCTGGAGCGCACGCGCCAGCCTCTGTGAGCCTAGATCACATATGGTATGGGCTCGGGATCTGGCGAGCTTGATTTGCTTGTCCAGTGTCGACTGAGCAACAATTACAGTGGCTCTTCGCTGACAGTGGGGTCGATTCGACGAGGAACGAACGGCTGACCCATTCTGCGCCAGGCGTAGGAGAATGAATGGACGGATCATTTTGCGGCTCATCATCGATCACGAAGGACTGGGACAATGTGCAGTCGACAAAGATGAACCAATTGGAGTATGTCATGACCGACATGCCACTAGGCCTCGTTGCTATCGATTTCCGCATGTGCACAAGCAGGTGGTAGTGCTGAGCTATTTTTGCATTGGATGCAAGTTGAGCAGACCTTCGTCGTGTCTGTAGTTCCCTCTTTTGGCTCAAACCAGTGGTGTTCATTTGGCCCCAGGCGTTGTGGCACCGTCTTGGCTGTCGTACATGATACTACACGGAAGACCCTTGTGGTGACTGTCTCAAGCAAAAACCAGCAACAGGCCATGTGGGTTCGAGCATCGCGAAGAACTAGCAGATCCGGGTATGGTGTGATTTCACGGGTTTAGTTACCATCTGCAATTGCGTACGACTCCTCCAGACCCTATGCCCGTATCGTCAGCAAGGTAACTCCAGCGAGGACCAACCGCATAAAAGTGCAGCTTCATCATAAGAGGGGTCCAATCTAAGAAACAGAATTCAGTAATTTGCTGGGGTAATCATAAAAAAGAACAGCCACAAACGGCCAGGAATTCCGCTTTCCAAGCAGAACAGCCATAAAACGCAGCGAAGCAAAACAAGGCTGTGTTCTGATAGACAGCTTAGTGGCATATTGTACCAAGCCATCCATACAGTGACATCTGTCATATTACACCAAGACTTGATATCTCAACAGATAGCAGCTAGCCACAGATCATCGGCTTTTGGTGCGTTGCACTGTGCACTGACTCTCAAAGCTGCCGATGTAGGTAACACAACCATCATGACTGGAAGAGAGAGACAAGGGGCCAGCGGAGATGATGCAGAAGCAGACTCTTGGCTCTTCTCGGAGTCTTTCAAAATGTAAATCTCATCAGCCAGCCGAAGCCGAAGAGGATCCGCAGCGTTGCAACCCTGTCGCCTCTGTTTAGCTGCCGGGTTGGTCGATCTGCGGTTTTGTAGTGTCCGCTGGTCGGTTGTTTTCTCCAGGCCGGTTTCCTCCCACCGAGCATAATCGGCCGCGGGCCCTTACGAGTTCCATTGGAGGTAGGCGACGCAACGCGGCAGCCGTTTATGGGCGGAGCGGATCCAATCTTGACGACTCGAGAAGGCGAGACAATGCGAAGTGATGTGATGATGCGTTTCCTCTGGCCACTTCATACATGCACTGTACTCTCTGGCTGTCCTCTCATTGTCTCTTCCTGCGTGGATAGGGCACGGGAATCCTCTCTGCACCACAAGCGACTTTATTACTTGACTCGGAGAAAGATATCCATGCTGATCCATGGTGGTTGATGTGGAGGTGCATGTTGGCGATAAAGAAAAGCAAAAAGAATTCGTAACATCACAACGGATGTTTGAGTGTACCAGGTTGTTATCTAGACGATGGGAGTGACACATCTGAATCACTATCGAGGTACCTCAGCACGAATTCGATGAAGCCACCAAGATGTCAATTATCAGCTAGGAAAATTAGAAGACGTGAGTTATGCAACCAGGAAAGACACATAGGTAGGCGCATTACATTACCTGGGCCTAAGTGCTAAGGTGGGTTCCCCACCAATTCTTTCCTCGACAACTAAGCTAACGTTGACCAGACAGGGACCTCGGATTTGAGGTTATCTGCACCTTCTGCACCACTTTCCTCCGGACTATCCATGATTCAACCTACAGGAATCTGCCCAAAGAAGATAGAAACTCACTAGTGCTGCTCCTCCCCCATCTTGTCGATTGCACTTACCTCGAGATCAAGATTGATCTTAGCATGGACCTTCCTTGCCCGTAGTCACCTCAAATGAGTTTATCTCATTGCCACGGAAGGAATCAGCCGTCTTCCGCTCAGCTCCCTTGTACATTGTGTGATATCGCTTCTTCGACCTACATGCTGCATCTTCTCCATACATACGCTAACATCTCCATACTTCGTCCAGTAGCTGGCGCGCATCAGGGCCCAGTTCCTGCATTCAAGGATTCTTAGCCTGCACGTCCATGATATCCGATATCGAAGACAGTCCTCTGTACCTCGTACAGTAGCTCGCTCGCCAATTGTCCCTCCAGTCAGTGGCCCTTGGTTGGCCAATGGATCAGTGATGTTCTCCTCATCTGTCGATATGCAATCTCGAAATACATATACGTACGTAGCTGTATCCAGCCTCTCACAACTGCAGCAGCAGAACTGCAATTTGCTCATTTGTCCAATGCATTCCACTGGATTCATTCTGAACCTCAGATGCAAGATGCAAGACAACCACCTCTTGCTTCTGATACGATGAGCCGGCCTGTCGCACCACAGGCGAGCGGCTAATGGACTGGCATATCTCCAAGTCAGGTTGTGCTTTATGCTTTATGTTGCAGATTGATGAGTCCCTAGATACATGCATACAATATCCTAGTTCATGTCCAAGCCGCCTCCAGCTACTAACCCACTCCCCACCAGATCCTCACCAAGGTAATGCGATGCTGAATGGTGGTCTTGTTTTTGTCTTGGCTTCGTTGGACTTTACTCGCTCGCGCCAGCAGCAACGAGATCCACACGCTAAACACGAACAAGGTCCCATGTCTCCTCTCCCGTCCGTAGCCATCGACGCCATCGAGGTTTGTGTGAACCCTGCACTTTGGACCCCAGAGGCAAAACAACGAAACGACAAGGCTCATGATGTGCGCCGCGGGCCGAGCAGCACTGGCCAAGTGCTATTCAATACCTTGACATAGGCTGCTACGGGCACGAGACGTGACTCTCATGCGCCAGCCTAGAATCGGCGCCACGATGATAGGGTCTCGAGAGAAGCGAACGGACATGCTGGAGTTTTCAGGCCAAGGCACTGAGGTGCCTAGCAAAAGATGCTAATGTCGACTCCACGCTTGCGAGCCTGCGCCCCCATGCCCTGTCCTGAGTATAGTCGCAGTGCTCCATGTCTACAATGTACAGTCACCCCGCTTGCTCAGTTGCTCCAGTGTTTCTCGACAGCTTGCAGCAGTAGCATGGAAATGGACAACAAGAAAAGACAGAAAATAAACCCGTACCGTTCTCGGTAGTAACGCGGCCGGGGTCGGCGTCGAATGAGACTCAAATGGCTCTCAGTAACACATCTGAAATAACGCGCGCCAGTCTCTTTTCTCTTTGCTGTGATCTCAATACACCCCCTCCTCCAATCCCATGTGCGCTACTAATTAGCTACATAGTTGTGCCCTCTTTAATCCCCCAATTCGAGCCGCCGCCGCCGCCGCCATACATGGCCCCTCCAACCCTCCCAAATCATCCAACCCCTCGCTCCCCACTGGTCCTGGTCCTAATGCAGTGAGCGCAAGACCAATACACCCCTGCTGTCTTGTCCGTTGTCCAGAACAAGATCAAATCTCGACAGACTTGCGCGCTTGTCTCTACGTACATAGTTGCCGCCCTACCAGTGCCACCACAACTAGGTACACACTACGATGGCCCACGACCTCATCAAGGACCCTCACTACTCCATGTTCATGCATGGTCCGTTTTAGAGACGGGTTTTGGCTTAGGTATATATCATAGACCCGTTCCCCGTCTTCACCCCAGGCTGTTATCATCGCCACTACCTCTTTTCCTCCTCCTCCTCGCCCTGCTCCTACCGGCCAATTCCTCTTGTCATGGCCATCTTTGAATAATTCCTTTTCCCGTCATTGTATATTATTCCGGTGCCTCGAGTCTTGCAACGGTGCGACTGTGTCTCTCTTGCATAGTGTGTTTGCTTTGGTACTTCCAGCGTCTCTGATTCACTTTCACCACAACACAATCATCTTGGACGGTCAACCACCATCAATTCCAGATTACGAGACACAGAGTCTTGTTTTGAAATCACTTATAAACCCCCCCTTCGCCTTACTCTTTCGAATCTCTATCCTCGTTGTGCAATACCCATCAACAGCCGTGTATCACAAGAACCTTTCTTCCCATCGCGGGACCAACAGCACCTCCTCCCACCTCTCAACCTCCTTGGATTTCGACAATTAACAGCTTCAGCATGTCTGACTCTGATACTCAAAGCATTGGGCGCAGCCATTTTCCTGGTCTTGCTGGTTTGTTAGCACTGCCAATGCCTTCTTTCAACTTTTGGTATTCAACGACCTTTTGGTTGTACCTTTTTGTAGGCCTTTGGTAAGTCATTTTCAATATCTTGAGATGAAAACTGCTTTTTTCAAGAAGGCTTTTAGGAAGCCATAAATCTCATCATGGCCAACCAGTTCTGACATGATCTCAGGGTTCATCGCTATCTCCGTCTTCTAGTTCATTGCGTTAGCCATTGGACATATAAGTCGAAGCCCATCCCCAGCAAACCGACATTCACGAGTAAGGATGTGACTGTGGTTATCCCAACCATTCACAATGCTTTCGAGGAGCTGCGCCCTTCTATTGAGAGCATTCTTGCTTGCGAGCCTGCCGAGTTGATTCTGGTCACAACGCATGATAAGCGAAAAGACCTCCAGCGCCTGGCAGACTCCCTGGTTTTCCCCAAAGTCCGTGTTCTGGATACTCCTATTGCCAACAAGCGCCTGCAGGTGTGTGAGGCGCTCCCCAAGGTCGAGACTCCCATCACTATCATGGCGGACGATGATGTGACCTGGCCCTCGACTCTTATGCCCTGGATCCTCGCTCCATTTGAAGACCCTCAAATCGGCGGTGTAGGAACTTGTCAACGAGTTCGACGGGAGCATGATGGCTCTTGGTCAACCAAGGCCTGGAACTGGCTGGGTGCAGCTTACATTGAGCGTCGAAATTTTGAGATATCAGCCACCCACAACATCGATGGCGGCACTTCATGCATGTCTGGTCGTACCGGCGCCTACCGCTCTGAAATCCTCTCTAGTCATGACTTTCTCCACGGCTTCAAGAACGAGAAGTGGAGAAAGTGGATTTTGAATGCTGACGACGACAACTTTGTGACTCGTTGGCTGGTAAGCCACCAATGGAAGACATGGATCCAGTACGACAAGGAGTGTGAGATCGAGACAACTTTGGAGAACAGCACCAAATTTCTGTACCAATGTTCTCGTTGGGCCCGAAGCAACTGGCGAAGCAACTGGACCAGCATGGTAACTGAACGCTATATTTGGAAGTGAGTAAAAAGAATTATCCGCGTAAATTTTGTTCGGTCTAACAAGAAATAGGCAACAATTGTGGTGCACATATGCTCTTCACTTCGCGACTTTTACTTCGCTGGCCTTTGTCGTTGATCCGCTTCTCCTAGCTTCATGCTGGTGGGGAACTGCTGACTGGGATGTCCAGAATCGCCGATACGCGTTCTGGGCTCAGTTTATCTTCATGTTTGCGTTCACGAAGGTAGTCAAGCTGATGGGTCTGTTTATTCGAAACCCAAGCGATATCATGTTCCTGCCCGTTTCCGTCATATTTGGATATTTCCACGGATTGGTCAAGCTGTACGCCCTGATCACTTTGAATATGGTACGTTTCGAACAATAAGAAAAACCCCCAGTACCGAGCAATCAACTAATCATCCATTGTTTAGACTTCATGGGGTAGCCGAGCTGATGGAGATGCAAACGATGAGCAGCGACTTGCTCCCGCCCCTCAGCCTTCAATCGTTTTGAAGACACCTCCTGGCAAGGGATCACTTATTCGATACAACGCTCGTCAAAAGGGACGGCAACCTCAGGCACAGCAAGTCGCATGGGAAAAGAGCGACTATGCAGCCTATGATTCAAGCACCTCGTATGTGCCCATACGAGTGCATACACCAATGGCAATGACGCCAAACACCACCAAGCTGCACACGAACGAAACTTCGATCAATTCACAGTGTTGGGTAATCTGACCTGGCGAGGAAACGATTTGATGAGGCCATGAGTAACGTTTTCATTTTCACGTGGGAAGTTAATTGTCCATGACCAATGGTTAAATGGAACGACGAAAATCTTCCTACCTCTTCTGTTTTCTACTTCTTGCACACCACACCACAGCCACCACCAAAAAAAAAAAAACGGACGGATTGGGGACACAGATGAGAGGCCTTTCAAGAGGCCGTTGGGCAAAAGTTCTTGCTTCTTAGGGGGATGATGATTATGCTTTTCCAGTCGACGGCCGCTGACGAGGTTGAGAGTGTCACCTCCTTGGGATGAGATATTTCCGAAGCAGATGAAAGACACGTGGTAACCTGAACAGCGAGCTTTGCTGGACCAAACATTTTTGGTGGGAAAGCAGTCAAGGCTATCATGAATACTAGCTTTTTGACTTGCTAACAAAAACCCGAGCAAGAGTCATCTTCCCTCGTTTTGTAACAATTTGGGATCATTTGGGACCACGGGTGGAGGCTATTCTAGGTGGTGTGTGAGATTCACAAAGGGTACACAAAGCATAGCTAGCTTTAAAGCATGTGAGAGTGATAATCAAAACATTGGGAGATGTCTTCTACCAGACAATTACTTGTTTACTAATATGGCCTCTGTGATCTGACTTTGCATACTTGGTTCTGACTTCTGAGGCGGGTATAACGGGCGCAGACATTTCATACCCAGTTAAACCCACATCAAAGACAGCAACCTGTTAGTTAACTAGTTGGCAAGGATAGATACAGACTCAGTAGAGACATTGAGTAACCCAAAATGGCATCGTTGGCACTAGCCTCGAGTTTAGTGATGACAGCCCTAGCCTAAAGAAGAGAGTGAAGGATGGTCAATGGACTGGCAATTAGAGATCCACAGCACCACCCACAAAGTGATTAGTTTCATGGTACGACAGCTCAGATGGTTTGCAGGCAGGCCTCGCTCAGATGTGGCCTTGGTCTTGAGTATGGCACACCAAAATCTTGCATCTGCTCAACTGCAGCAAGCTATATTTGGCTTAGGGTTTGACGTGTTGCACTCGCATCTCGCGCAAGTGCCGGAGGTTGATGAGACAGGTAGCCACAAAGTCAAAAGGGGGATTAATTATCGCATCATCTCTGAAGGTTTTGATGCACACAGGTCCGTGAAGCTCGGGATATCCAGGGTCCTGCCCTGTTAGGCAAATACTATGTATGTCCCAGTTGAAACAACGCGAGTCGTAATATGTGGCATCAAGGGCAAACAGGAACCACTTTCGTGTCATTGTCAGGCCGGGTTTCCCTGATCACCGTTGCATCTTCAGCGGGACTCAACTCAAGATGAGGTGCAGGCTCAGACAAGACAGGGGAGTCTGGTTGGACAAGACTCAGAGTCAAGAAACAAGCCTGTAGGCCCCCACCAGGTATACACTCCGCTTCCCCTCCTTGTCGGCCGAACCAAGACATCGATCCCATTTTCAATCACCGTGGCCGTGACAGCTATCAGGCTAGATCATGTGTGTCAACCACCCAAGGACCTCGCAGCATAGCGAGCGCGAATCATGAGCACAGCCAGAACTCTAGGGAACAAGGCAGAATGGAAACGTAATGAGCCTGCTTGTGTGGGGAGGGGTTTGATCGAGTTTACTGGAGGACGGGTGCAAGATAGACGCCAAGCACAGAGGCTAGAGTTTTCAAGCCAAGGTAAGCTAAGCACTTGTGGACAGCGATCGTCTGCACTTGGTCCTCTTTGATATGATATGGATTCTGACGCGGGGTTTTTTTCCCTTGATATCCACTTACGGAGTACAGTAACCACAGGAGATATCATGATGTGAGATGGACAACGCAAGGTACCTGATGTAATTGTGGTTAGCTGAATCTCAGTCTGGGGGTAGCGAGTGTAAGCCAGGCTAGGCCAGGATCACTATGATGCGACTGGCTTGTTAGCTTGGCATCTGCATCGTGATTATCCTTCTACCGTTCGTTGCATTATCTCTTCCTGAATCTAATAGTACGTAATGCATGTAGTAGTGTATAGTTGTATATGCATAGACTACCATCTGCAACAAGAGCCAACATGTCTGATGGTGTGGGTGTCGAATATCATCGCAACCTTTGGTGCACGATGAATTACGACAGTTGTCCACCATGTATGTCGTTCATCATCGTTGTCGTAATGCCATGTTGGTTCTTGTCTAGCTTTCTGCGGGCCTTGGGGCTCTGCTATTTTGGTGTGCGTCTGGCGTATGACCGCCATTGGACCGGCTCTGGTTGAGAAATAATGTTCTTTTGCCAATAGCAAGATAATTATTGTATCAGAACTTGTTTTCAGATGCTATTGCTGGCGCAATGCCTTGCGTGAGCTCATGAGGCCCCTTGGGAGTTGCAAAGCTGCATGTCATGTTGGTTGACCCTGGAGAAACATATCCAAACGATATCCACAACAACTGATGTCTGTGACGATGTATTACTCCTAAATCCACCTCACCAAAGGACCAATCCTGCTTGTGTCACCAACCCAACCTTTGGCAAAGGTTGCAAATACCCCCATGACCTTGAATCTTTTGTTTGCATAACATCATCTTACATCGAATTGGATGCAGGTCCCTTGTCGTTAATCCTCCGGGAATAGTCCTTTCTTTTGCAGATCTTTCGTCAGTCAGCGAGTGACCAATGCCGTTGATACAGAAGGTTTATTATTACTGGAGATTCCTCCTCTCTCGTCGTATCGCAACGCTCATAGCACAACCAGCCCCACGGGATGGGACGGATAGCCACATATCAGAAAAGTCACTGGGTAATCGACATTGCACAAGCTGAGCCTCGATCTGGCTGTCGAGTCACTGTCCCTGTTGTGTTTTGTCCAGTTGCTGCGCCATGGACCCTTGCGAGTAGCCCCGTTTCCCCTCTTTGATGGGCGAAGATATCGTCGTGGGTCTAGAGCTCAGACTTCAATCGGCAATAGCAAGGATGGCACGGGTCAATCGCGTTCGTGATGCCAAGGAAACTCCTCCGCAACTGGTGACAGGGTTTGTTGTTGATAGAGAACTACAACGGCTAACAAATAGTCGCATGGAGCGTTCCTGGTGTTTCGGAATCGCATAAGGATGTGGTTTATCCTGCACAAACGATGCCCCTCTATCATATACTGAGACCTGCCGACGTTGAACGCATATAACTACATGAGTATGCATACATATGCATGTCTTGGACTTTTGAGGTGCTCAGTTCCTGTAGCACATGAATATATCACATATTTCTGCTCAGGCGGCCCGGAACCCGATAAGGTGATCGAGATGCTCAAGTATTGGCTTGGTTATCTGCATCCTGCCGCAAGTGCTGGTGGCCATAGTGGGTGAATCATCGAGAAACGGCCATGCCTGTCGAGGTCTAACGAATTATCTCTCATGTTCAGTGTTGGTTGGTGATAGGTTTTGGTGCAAGGTCGAGATGCCTAATCGAGTGATAGCAACAAGCAATGGTCAAAGCTTCCCATGGCTGATTGCCTGATGAGGCAACTTGAGATCTCGTACCAAGCGGGATCTAGATGACTAGATAGGTACACGGTACATCATTTCCCTCCCTGAGGTGATGCCTACCTACTATCTTTGGGTGCTACGTACCTTAGGTTAGTAGATTGCAAGGCACTCACTCTACCTAGGTACTCAGGTAAGGTAGACAGGTAGGTAAGGGTTGTGAGGAACCAGTTCGATCGACTCGGAAAGTAGTTCGCAGTACGTACTTATCTTCCCTTTGGCTGTTCATTGGGCAAGGACTTGATTGATTCCTCAATCTCCGTTCTCTCTTCCCGTCTCCATTCTTCATCCCTACAAGCTCCTCTTCTGCTACTGTAGAGATGGCGCAAGAAAAGACCCCGGCCGAGATGGCGTCTGACGATTATCGACCCTCTAATGCAGTTCTAAGATCGACAAGTCTGTTCGCTCATCGCCCGTCAAGTGTACACCCACCATCCATCCCCATATGCTTAGCTGCAGCTCGCTATCGGCCGGAGGCGTCACATCGTCAAATGCTTACCCATGACCAGCAAAGGGACGTCTTGGTGTGAACCCTGTTGTTTTCTCAGGCACACCAACGCAATCAGAGCCAAGAGTTAATACTACAGATTCCGTCCCTTCCCGGAAGAAATGTCGCATAGAGACTGTGCCCATTGCTTGTGGCCACAGCCAAGCTCAATGTATCGACTGCCGTGCATTGTTGAAACGAAGCAGAACGAGGAAGAATAGATATCGCTTTGGAAGGAAGCCGGATCTGCTTGACTTCTGATCTCTTCCGGCTGCCGCAACTCGCCTATCACGTCGGGCAGATATATGGTCTCATGCGTTAATTACTTGGCCATGACTGTCACTGGCTCACATATAACTCTGCAAATGCACTGAATTACTCGCGGTCTTTATTGTTATGCGCCGTTTTCACAGAGCCCACCCGAAAACGGTGGGCTTAGGTGCGGCGGCTTACCATCGGTCGGTCATCCATCGCCCACTCTTCGGAGGTCCGCTTCAAGTCGCAAAGCCGCAATAGCCGCCGGGCCGGTCCATTTCAACATGGACCCTGGATGAAACTTTATGTGTCGCTGTTGTGAGGGACCTCATCCACGTTTACGCATTATCAAGACTCGATAGACAAGTATGCGGACTGGGGTTGAGCAAGTCTACGGCGCAGAAACTGCTAACCTACCTAGTAGCGAAATGTTTTCTCTTTCACCTACTGTTTATGCAGGTTGTTGTCTCAAAATCGACTGTTGAACATCCAAACTGCGCTACCTGAAGAACCTAGCCCAAAATACACGCGATAGATTTTAGTGCCACCAAGAACCCTGGCAGCGTCAGGCCAGGCTAGAGGGCCGCACTACAGGTGTGTTTATATCATCAGCGTCCGAGCGTGCATCCTGCAGGCCATGCTTGCGTCGCGCCGTCCTTCTCCACTTGCTACACCAAGCGAAGTTGGCATTCTGGAGGGTTCGTGTCGACAACACATCGAACATTTGTGGGGGAGGGGACCACGATAGGCTGGGAGCGAGCAGGTGGCAGATGGGCACGGGCTTGTTCTTTGACCACCATCGTGATGCTAGCCCAGCTCCAGATGTCATAGCTTTGATCTCTTGTCAGTGATCTTGTGGGCACATCGCGTGATATCCGATGCAGAGGCCGTCTGAGACATGTGAGGGCCGGAATCGTCCCCTCGGCCATTTTCTACATCAATAACGCCTTCTAAATAGGGTTGGTCTCCCGCACCAAGAAGACTACTGATATATGAATCAGCCGAGGCAGGGTTTTAACACCATGATATGCATTATCGAAACCTGGGGTAGTTGAGTTATGCCTCGGGCATGGCGATGCAAGGTCGCTATCAAAAACAGATTAAGCAATAAAATATAACAAAGTACAAAACGTGATATGACCTTGGCCTCCTTTATATACTATCGTTCGAAGATCAAATATGGATCTTCTCCTATGAATTCACCATACACGGATAATACGGCGATCGCTTCAGTCCACGGCTCAGTTTTCAGGCTCACAAAGGACGTTTCTTGTTTACGATAAGTAATTATACAAAAACAGTCTATTTTCATGACCATATAGCACGCTGCAATGACTCAAACGTTCCCTCTACATAACATTTCTTCGAGATTTTTGGTCGACAGATTCACACCTTTCGTGGTGTTTAATTCATAGTCTCTGCCACATGAACGACGTGATGCTCGAAATACACATATCTCAAGGGAAGTAACTAGCCCGAAAACGCATCAGGGCAAAAAGCAACAAGCAATGGCAGCTTGAAGACATCATACATGAGCCAGGTCCTATGCCAGAAGGTCAGCACGGCCCATGAAAGCCGTATGCAACTCGAAAATGAAGGGCTGTCACTATATGATACAGCCCGAGAAGATCGTTGTTATGGTCTCTGCGTTGAAGTGATCGATGCCCCTTAACTTCAGTGGCTGTTACAGAAGGAATCGGGGGGGAAGGATGGAAATGTTGCATTGACTCGCCGGTGACACCCAAAGTTACAAAACATATTTAAAAGTTTCTTCCCATAGTCCAGTTGCCCATCAAGATCCGATGTCCAAGAAGCTCGAACATTACCACGTACCAATGCCCTTGATTTGTTCTGTCGTTCCTTTAGATTGAGCCTCCAAGATACAGGATGTTCTGCTTGATGGGCTCTGTAAGTGTGACTCGTCCGGTATAAACATGTGCGACAGTGTCCGCCCAAGCATGAGGATGTGGGAGAGGGAGCTCAACCGTGTCGCCAGGACGAACGTGCTCAGAAAGAATGACAGCAGCTAGAACTGGAAGGTATGTTCGAGCATAGCTGAGACCTAAGAAAAGTTAGACTTGGTTCGCGGAGCCGTAATGTTGAGGTTCAAGATTCAAGTACTTACGTATAGAGACAGGGCCGCAACCTTGGCGGGAGCCTCTGCGCTCAAAAGCCGGCGAGGGCTTTGCATCTACTCTAGGAAGAACACCGTGGGAATGACGTCTCTCGTGAGAGACTCCGGGGGAGGATGCTCGAGAGCTGACAGAAGGAGGTTGCAGAGTGACAACTGATGCACGCCTATTTTCTTTATGTCGTTCAAGAGGGCTCACCACTGGAAGTGTAGCTTGTAACTCATCCAAGTCGAAGGTTCTGGAGAGTATAATTGACTTGCGGCCACGCGAATGAACAGCCACACAGGTAGTCAAACGTCTCTCTGAAGGATAGGGCGAGGACGCTTCTGCACCACTGGAAGATAACTGAGACAATCGACGAAGCTCAACAGGCAGCACAAATACCTCCGGCTCACGAGATCTGTGCGAAGCTGCGATCCATCGCCGACGATGATGCTCTCTTTGTCGAGCAAGGTGCATGGCTCTGGCGTGAAGAGGGCCACCAGGGGCAGATTGTCGGCGCTCATAGTCGACATGAGGGGATTCACCACCTCGCTCTGCATCTGACTCCTGAAGCAGCATGCTTCTTGTCTCATCTGCTAGAGTAGGTCTTTTAAAGACGGGAGGAGCCAGGAGTGGCGCAGAAAGGGGAAAGGGCCGAGATGACAAAGTGCTGGGGCCTGGGCTTTGGAGAGAAAGAGGTGCAATCGGTCTCAAGGAGACATTGCGTAAACCGGACTCAAGCTTGGGAATATCACGCTTTCGGGGTTCATACTGATCAACTTTTGTATCAACATCCTGCTTCATATCATCATCTTTGGGTTCTCGAAGTTGTGGAAGAGGTTGACTGTGTGGTGATAGGGGTGAAGGGGTCCATGACGGACTCTTCTGGATGATACGGGATCTTAAAGATCGGACATTGAGACCAGGACCTGAAGTTTGGATAGGTTCTATGAGTGGACGAGGTCTAGCTTCAGAGGCGACTGTGGTCATAGTTGATACAACGAAGAAGGAGTTTCACGAAGATATCGGACAGGCTCTGGGCAGGCAGACAAGAATGAGACATAAACAAGGAGTTTGACACTGATGTCTCTGGAAGATGGGAAAGTGAAGGTTATGAGGAGCAAGTAGTAGCCATCTCTCCCATGGCAGGATGATAAATATTTTATTATTAGAGTAAAATGGCGCTCCATCTTAAAGAAAGGATGACATATGCGCTGCTCATTTGCCCCAACATGCTCTGACTTCAGAGATTTCAACACAAAGGAGTTAGCCATATGGCGTTGGCGTAAATCTTTGACGAAGCGAAAGAGTGTGCTTGCTAAGCCAGAGAACAAAGAAATGCGGCTTGCTCTAGTTAATGGATGCCGACATGATGAGTCTGGCATCCGCGGGACAGAACCCGGTTTTGGTTGGCCTCCCCCGCCCAGCGGACTGAATGAGGCGCTGAGGAAAGCCTGACCTGTCGAATATCGCAAGGTAACAGTGTCTGTTGGTGTGAGGTTGAAGACGGGGACTAATAATACTGCGTAGAAGGCGCATGAGGTTGGTGATGAGGGTACACGTGACAGGGTGTCCTCTCTCAGGCGCAACGTCTCATTGGCTGATAGGCCAAAGCTCCCTGTCCCCGTACCTTAGCCTCGGGCCCCTCCATCTCAATATCCTACGACAACTTTACTTACACGTCGTTACAACGTGGTAACTTCAAGGCTGACTTTAACATTACCTGTCGACTTTGACAGATCTACTGCCTCCACCATTTCTTTGTGCCCGAACCTCTGCACTCTGCTAAATTATGCGCTGAGGCTTGCCGTCATTTGCCGCTGGCCATGTCTGAACCCGGGAGCTACAAGCAACGAAAGGAGGACTTTGTGTCCAATCTCTCTGGCGGCTCTGTCGCAGAAATCAATTATGTTACATCCGTTGCGGCTGTTGGTACCCCCATTTCACCTGCTCATACCATGTTGTGCATGAATAGTTGTTGATTTTGAATTGTTACAGGTAGCAATTATTCTATGGTCCGTCCTCCAAGCCCGCCAGTCCTTCTTCGAACCGTATACCGTACTCGCATTCGCTGTTGATTTCCTTCTCAACGTTGGAGCCATTCTCCTGTCAATAACTCTCTATTCAAAATCACCGCTTCTTCTGAACCTTCTTCTCATTACGCCTGCGATTCTCATCTTCGTCCTCCCACCTCAATCTGCGAGCCGGAAGAAGAAGCTCAAGGTCCCTCCAAATGCGCGGTCCAAGGAAAACTCCGGGCAGCTTGATGTCTTATCAACGAAGCCTTTTCTTACAAACTTTCGCGGTTGCATGATGATTGTCACCTGTGTGGCCATTCTTGCTGTCGATTTCCGCTTGTTTCCGAGACGGTTTGCCAAGGTTGAGACCTGGGGTACTTCTCTGATGGACTTAGGTGTTGGATCCTTTGTCTTCTCAGCAGGCCTTGTTGCAGCTCGTCCTGTACTGCGTGAGAAAGCGATAGGTCGCACAACAGGCCGGGCAACACCTCTTTCCCACCGGATCGTGCATTCGCTGCGCCATTCTATCCCACTACTAGTGCTTGGGCTGATACGTTTCCTGAGTGTCAAGGGTCTGGACTACGCCGAACATGTGACAGAATACGGTGTTCACTGGAACTTCTTCTTCACCCTTGGTTTTCTGCCCCCATTTGTTGCCATCTTCCAGTCAGCTCTGAAATGGATTCCTTCATTTGCAGCCCTGTCGTTGTTGGTGGGCGTTACATATCAAATTCTGCTTGAAACCACTAGTCTAAAGGCGTACGTCTTGACGGCACCCAGGACCGACCTAATCAGTATGAACCGGGAAGGTATTTTCAGCTTCATTGGATACCTGGCGATTTTCCTTGCTGGGCAAGATACGGGCATGTTTGTCATTCCCCGTAACATCCCTCCCAAGAGTACCGCCAGCCCTGGAGCCCAGAGGAACACCCTTCTGATGACCATGGCTGTTTGGGGTGGTGTCTGGACTGGGCTCTACTTGCTCTCCACGAATTATCACTATGGTTTCGGCTTGGCAGTATCCCGTCGCATGGCAAACCTACCCTATGTTTTATGGGTTGTTGCCTTCAACACCTTGCAACTGCTGGGTTTTGCGGTCATCGACACGATATTCTTCCCTACCTTCTATAATGCTCAAGACGCAAAGACGGAGAAGGTGGCGTATACACAGGCCACCAGTCATGTAATTCGAGCATACAATCGTAACGGACTGGCCATCTTCTTGTTGGCAAACTTGTTGACTGGTTTGGTCAATATGACAGTCAACACACTGGATGCTACCCCTGTACTGACAATGGGAATATTAGTTGCATATACCGCAACGATCACAGGGGTCGCGGTAGCATTAGATGCTTATAATATCAGCATCAAGCTTTAAGCATCGCGTCTGGCATTTTGATCTCACATATCTAGCGCAGCATTTCGTCGGCCTTGTGGTCATTATAGAGGTTATTTAATAGAACGCGGTCAAAGTACGCAGATAATAAGCTGAACTTATGTTGATTCCATTGGTACACGTCAATGCAAATGATTTCTAAACTTCTAGTGGTTCATGGTTAGCAAATGCCCTAAGCATTCCGCATGGCTTTTAATGCATTTAGAGGTGAGTTGCAACAGGTTTGCATACCGTGCTGTTTCTCGTTATACGTCTGTCTAAATACCTAAGCAAGGACAGAGAAGTTGTATCCCTGCTAGACGACATGAGAGAAGTTCATGCTTCTTAAACTGATCTCAGAACGGACACTCCTCTTTCTAGGATACCTCAAGACAGAACGAAGGGCTGTTCAATCATGAAGGGAAGGCCTCTCACTTCATGATGATTCCAACCCAGCTTGCTTGAAGCTCAGAGGTAAGTTGGATACTACTTCGAACATATGCGAACATCACCATCGTTGGTGACGTGATGGATTCAGTTCCTGCGGAGATTGATAAGTAGTCCCATATGCAGAGTACCCATATTGCAAAAGCAAACCTAGTTATGACTGCTACGGGAGCATGATTTATCACAACTATCGATCGAGAGCGTAGATCGAGAGGGGAATCAGGGCCATGACTAGGATCAAGTCATGTGTTAGAGATGAACTGCCGGGTGAATGTAACGCGATCTTCACTTATGCAATTGCGATTGAGATTGCGATTCAAGACACAAGCATATTTGAGGATCTAGGTAAAGATTCAAGGCGTTATCGACGACTAGGATTACTGGCCCGGCATGTTACTTGGCGGGCTCATGATGAACGCGTCGTGACAGGAAGTGAGGGGTGATTCCAAGTTCAGCTGAAATGCATGTATATAACGTACCATTTATACATGACATAGTGGCTCAGCTGAGAAGGAATCTATTGAAAAGCAAAGGTTGATAACCCATCATGACAGTGGAAGCCATATTTATGAGATCCGTACCAGGTTTGACGTTCATGAACCAAACATTTGGACGTGAAAGTTGATCTCCAGTTCCCGCATCGATTCTCCCGAAAGAAAGAATCTGTTTGTGGAGACGGCGTCGCCGGAAGATGACGTCTGAAACGAGGAAAAGAAGTCAAAGCAACCTTGTCAAGCTCAAATTCACGTCAGATGGATCCCTGTCTGCTTTACGCGTAGCTCATCTCCGGTATTAATGCTGCTCTTAGTCTCTTAGACTTCTACACCACAAGCGCGGCCTTGTTGTGCAAGTTCCCATCGCAAAACAGTCGTGCACGTTCAGACGGCTTCCTGAACGTGTGCTATTTCCCCATCTGCCTTGGTCCAGCACGTCAATGTTGGATAAAAATATATACCGTGGCGTCTAAGTCGCGGGAAAATATAAGATGATATTAGGGTGTTTCAGGAGTCCGTGGGGGAAAAAGGACTGTCTCGGGATAAATGGTTAATATCAACATAGCCTGAGAAGCACATGCAATAATGGAATCAGTGCTTGTAAGCCGCAACTGAGATTTTGCTGTTGTTGAAGTCATCAAAAGAATTTGGTTGTTTGACCTGGGGAAATGAATGACAAGCGAGATTCGACGCTGATCAAGTGTGCCCAACCCAGAGCATGAGAATCTACGGATAGTGTATGCATGACATTCGGTTTAAGCAAGGTCAAGGAAGAAACCATAGGCTAACCCCAGGGAAGATGCTGTGAACAAGATGATGGCCTAAATATCCTAAATTTGCAATACATCATCTCACGGTAACGTTAAGGCGCAATAAGTCTTAAGACTGCCCATATCAGAAATTGCTATTATTGTGGCAAACTCCAGAATCCTCTATGTTTTCCTTTATTATTACGCAGTTACAGCCTCTTAACCCATTATTCGCTGGAGGTGAGCCATCGCTGTAAGATGATCTCCTCGCCGGTATGTGTCTTATGTGTGGTGAGTACCTAACTTAAAAAAGCTTTGCGCCATAAAAAGAAACTACTTCCGATAAATCTCACAGCGTAGTAGTATGTATATTACTCCAAGAAGTAAAGTGCGCTCGTGACGAACCTAGTGATTGTGATGTGTATGCCGAGGTGCCTAGGGAAGATGGTGTCGAGGTTGAACCTTGAACCTAGACATCACATCTCGACAGCTAAATCAAGGTTACATTCTGTAAAGTGAGAATTACAGAGTCAAGCTATGGGGAAACCTGAGTTGCTATTGTCTGATACACTTCATAGTACGGAGTACTCTGTATCATAATATCATTGCAGGCTCGAGAATACAGTCATTTGCACCCAGCTGAGTTGGACGAGCGGAGCAAAAGCTCAACCCTGAGATCGTCTTCATGTATATTCTAGAACCATGGCACGGTTTGGCTACTTCCATCTTAACTTCTCGAAATAAGTGGAAACTTGGCCTCGAGCTTCCTTTGTTCAACTTGGTGCGGGCTGAATACGAGGAACAAGACCATGGACGGGCCCAGGCGAGACGGACCGTGGGATGAGCAGTTGGAGCTGGACAAGACGGTGTTGAGCAAGCTGATCATCAAGTAGCTATGGTACCTTGCTTGCCCTTGATGCGAACGAGGAACCAGAAGGAGGGTTGAGTTGATGCACCCATTTAATGCAGTCAGTTGGCTTGGAATCTTGAACTGTCATCCATCCACGTACATACACTATCATCGACGGTCTGACCGACAACTTGCTCAATGCTCACAACATCGTGACGCGGGTTGCCGTGAATGTCATCAAGAAGAAAAGCCAAAGCTGAGACCACCCACCTTCAGAGAACAACCCCCTCGCAAAGCCCACTTGTAAGATTACTGGTCAATGCCTCGCATCACATACCGGACGTTTTGTCCTTGCCTTGGATGTAATAAAGACCTCCCTGATTGAGCTGATGCTGCTGTCAGCATGGGATACACGCACGATATTGAGTTGATGTCCGTGATGACCGACTTTGAGATTATTGGCTTCAGGCACCAAATTCAATTCCCAGGTACGCGACGTCAGACGAACAGGGACCTGAGAGAAGGTCTCGGCTGGGCAGAACTTAGGTTGGACTAGCTTCAGACGCCTCGAAACAAGGGTCAAGGGCACGAGAAAGGTCAAGAGACTTGATGGTGCGAGCACTAGCCGATGGCTTTCGGTTGAAGCATGATATCCAATCTCGAGAAAACAAGAGACATAAGGATGAGAGAAGGGAGAGTTGGTAGAGGAACAAGAGGCTTGTTTTTGTTTTCCTTTATTTTGTTTTGTTTTTTTGGGTCAGGTAATGGTTCGTCATCGTCATTCAATAATCAATATCTCCATGTAATAAATGAGCCATAATCTATTGAGCCGAAGGTCTAAATACTTGCCATTTTAAAGTTGATGGCCATTGTAACTCTGTAAGTTCTCAGTTGCGGAATATTATTCTCTTGACCAGCTGATAGCGCCAATGTCGGGAACTAACAAGGTGCTGTAATGAGATCAAGAGCACTCGTCGGATGAGACACGGAATGGTGACAGAAGATGCAGCTGGAGTTGAAAGATGGAACACAAAACTGTATCCGTACCGTACCGTACCGTACCTGCAGGAACGACAGCGCTATATTCAGGGGTACTGCAGTGGTACTCTGTGCTGCGCTCGATTCAGACGCTACATACCCTCATAATGGATCTTGATGCGTTCAAACCCATGCAGAGTCCCCCTTCCAGCCAAGGTTCTTTTTCCCCCTCGACTCCTTGCATTTGATCATATACAAGGTCAGGCAGGGCATGCATGGATGTATCAGCGGGCGGGCATCTTGAGACTTGACAGATTTCGACTGAAAAGTCTCACAAGTTTCAATGCTCTAACGCTTTTTCAGTTGAGAGAGCGCCCTAACTAGTCTAATTAATGGGTCGGGTCAGTGTTGTTTGTTAGTGTTTACTTACTGGAGTTGATGAATTGACTGATTGTTTTCCCCTCTCCATTGGAAGATCCATCATTCGAGGGTCCCACACCTGCAGCCCAACCTACCTAGGTACCTCTACCCTGGTCTCATAGTCTCTTAGAACGTCTCATATCGTCCTGGCGCCCGAGTCTTTGAGTCTTGAGAGTCCCATCTGGGAAATTGATGAATGGCTTCCCTTCTCTCGGACCGGGGTGTTGTACATGAAAATCGCATGTTTATCCCGCATGAAATTAAGTACCTCGAACCCATTTAGATCCGATTGACGCTTGTTTCTGCTTCCCTCCCGTCCACTAAGCAAAGTTCCCCTTCAGACTCAGACCGACTCCCTCCACCTCCAAGTTCCAACCTCTCTGTCTGAGTCTGATAGCGCGAGAGGCCCCGACTCAAGACACGGTCCTCACACCATTTTGCTAAACTCACCTAACGTTAGGGACCTGGCTTGTTTGGTTTGGTTTGGTGGTTGGCAGTTGTTCTGTTACCACATCCGTTTAATTGAACCTCGTTCCCGATCGACTCTTTCCCTTCTTCTTCACTCGCATGTTTCTGGCTGGCGACTTTGATATTTCACGTCTCCTTGGACGTTGCGCGTCGCTACTATCGCATAGCATAGCATAGCATCGCACTGCATTGCGCGTTAGGTCGAACCGACGATCTCAACTCTCTTTTGCGCTCCATCGCGCGCCCCAACCTCCAGTCCAGTCAAGTCCCGTCTCGTCAAGCCCAATTGGATCCAGTCCTATCAAAAAAGGGGAGTTAATTAGCACCTGCAGGATCCAAGGCCCAAGACCAAGGCGCAGCGAAACACAGGGCATCAACACAACAACAAAAAAAGAATCCATACCTACATTCAGTTCAGTGCCATTCGCAGCCCAGCCCTGTTCGGCTGCCAACGCATCCAGTGTCGGCCGTCCTCCAATCCTGATCCGCCCGTCGCGGCCGTTTAGCTGCACCTCAGACCGCAGAACTCAGCTTTGTATTGGATCAGTCCCGTTCGCCCCGAAAATATAATCAGAAGCCAAAACAAGCGAGCAAGAA